CGAAACGTTTCGCCTACACAGTAGGCTTCTTCAGTCGAATACAGAAAGTAGGCAGGAACAGTAGAGATATGAAGACGATGTAGAATTTGTCGTAGAATTTGAGGTTGTCAGTCCCTCAGTCTGGAGAAGTTCAGTTCCATAGTCAGGAACTATTCTCCAGGCTGAGGGACTGACAACCTCAAATCTACGACTTCAAGGGTGATGAACTGATTAAATCTTCACAACTCTACTGTTCATGCCTACTTTCTGTATTCGACTGAAGCAGCCTACTGTGTAGGCGAAACGTTTCGGAATAGTTGCCTATGTGTCTTGCCTACCAACCAGTACCATTATTGTTGAAAAAAAAACTATAATACATACCTTGTTCATCTAATTGTCAGTCGTGGATACCATTCTCATTATTGTTTACCCTTATATACACACATGAATATCTATACATATGCTCATACACACTTATACATACACACTTGTTACATGTAGATATGACGGGAAAGGAAGTGGAGTTGCATTGCATGTACGGGAAAATATAAACTGTTGCATAAAAATAGGTATATAAATGGATGGATTAGTAACGGAATCTGTTTGGGTAGAATTACAAGGTCAAGAAAAACTAATTCCAGGTGTAATATGTCGACCTCCAGACCTGGATCACCTTAAGAGACTTCTCTGGGACGAAATTGTTAGAGCTTCTAGACACAATAACGAAGTGATAGTGTTAATGCTGGTAGAATTACCGACAATATGTAAAGTAAAAGGACACAATGAAAAGTAATGTGACATTTTATTTCGCTCTCCAGGAGCTTTATCGAGCTTGACAAAGCTCCTGGAGAGCGAAACGTTGCCACAATAAAATGTCACATTACTTGCACTTGTGTCCTTTTACTTTCAAACATAGTGATAGCAGAGGATTTTAACTATAGTCAAATTGACTGGACTTCTTTGACTGGTAATCTGGAGTCCAGTGACTTTATGGAAGTAATTCAGGACTGTTTTCTGAAACAGTTTTTAACAGAGCCTACCAGAGGTAATAATTTGCTCGACCTAGTCTTGTCAAAGAAACACTCGTAAATAATCTGGAGATCACTGAAGAACTTGGCGCAAATGATCACAACTCCATCACTTTTAATATTACCTGGTAGTACCAGAATAATGATAATATAATCAAAGTCCCCGATTATCGCTCTGCCGATAATGGACTCGGGGAACACCTGGTTTACCTGGAGTTTACCTGGAGAGAGTTCCGGGGGTCAACGCCCCCGCGGCCCGGTCTGTGACCAGGCCTCCTGGTGGATCAGAGCCTGATCAACCAGGCTGTTGCTGCTGGCTGCACGCAAACCAACGTACGAGCCACAGCCCGGCTGATCCGGAACTGACTTTAGGTGCTTGTCCAGTGCCAGCTTGAAGACTGCCAGGGGTCTGTTGGTAATCCGTCTTATGTGTGCTGGGAGGCAGTTGAACAGTCTCGGGCCCCTGACACTTATTGTATGGTCTCTTAACGTGCTAGTGACACCCCTGCTTTTCATTGGGGGGATGGTGCATCGTCTGCCAAGTCTTTTGCTTTCGTAGTGAGTGATTTTCGTGTGCAAGTTCGGTACCTGTCTAATTTCGACTGGGGTAATCTAGGTAATGATTTTATTGACGATGATCATACTTACGATTACGAAGGAATCTACATTAATGATTTTTTCTTAATAATGTACAACGTGCTCAGAGTATATATATTCCCCAGAGAGAAATTAGGTCAAATAATAACGATCCCAAATGGATGAACAGGAGGCTAAAGCCTCTATCAGGAAGGAAAAAAAGAGGAATTTATAGGCGCATCAAAAGAGGAGAGGTTAACCTTACTGACCAATATGTTCAGTTTAAAAGTAAAAAAAGGGGATTAGAAAGGCTAAACGTGTTTATGAAATTAAGATTGCTAATAAATCAAAGATAAACCCCAAAAAAGTTCTTTCAAGTGTATAGGACGAAGGTGAGGGAAAGAGTAGGTCCTCTGGAAACTGGAAATGGACAGCTGACGGATAACAAACTGGAAATGTGTCTCTAACTATTTTTTGTCAGTCTTTACACAAGAAGAAATAAATGAGATTCCAGCAATTAACAATTATCCAGTTCCTGAAGAATTCAAATTAACTAATATTAGTCATGAGGGACATAGTTATCAAACAGTGTGGTAGGTGCGACAGTGTTACTGCAGTGTGGTAGGTGCGACAGTGTTACTGCAGTGTGGTAGGTGCGACAGTGTTACTGCAGTGTGGTAGGTGCGACAGTGTTACTACAGTGTGGTAGGTGCGACAGTGTTACTACAGTGTGGTAGGTGCGACAGTGTTACTGCAGTGTGGTAGGTGCGACAGTGTTACTGCAGTGTGGTAGGTGCGACAGTGTTACTGCAGTGTGGTAGGTGCGACAGTGTTACTACAGTGTGGTAGGTGCGACAGTGTTACTGCAGTGTGGTAGGTGCGACAGTGTTACTGCAGTGTGGTAGGTGCGACAGTGTTACTGCAGTGGGTAGGTGCGACAGTGTTACTGCAGTGTGGTAGGTGCGACAGTGTTACTGCAGTGTGTAGGTGCGACAGTGTTACTACAGTGTGGTAGGTGCGACAGTGTTACTGCAGTGTGGTAGGTGTGACAGTGTTACTACAGTGTGGTAGGAGGGACAGTGTTACTGCAGTGTGGTAGGTGTGACAGTGTTACTACAGTGTGGTAGGTGCGACAGTGTTACTGCAGTGTGGTAGGTGCGACAGTGTTACTGCAGTGTGGTAGGTGCGACAGTGTTACTACAGTGTGGTAGGTGCGACAGAGTTACTGCAGTGTGGTAGGTGCGACAGTGTTACTGCAGTGTGGTAGGTGCGACAGTGTTACTACAGTGTGGTAGGTGCGACAGTGTTTACTGCAGTGTGGTAGGTGCGACAGTGTTACTGCAGTGTGGTAGTGCGACAGTGTTACTGCAGTGTGGTAGGTGCGACAGTGTTACTGCAGTGTGGTAGGTGTGACAGTGTTACTGCAGTGTGGTAGGTGCGACAGTGTTACTGCAGTGTGGTAGGTGCGACAGTGTTACTGCAGTGTGGTAGGTGCGACAGTGTTACTGCAGTGTGGTAGGGGCGACAGTGTTACTGCAGTGTGGTAGGTGCGACAGTGTTACTGCAGTGTGGTAGGTGCGACAGTGTTACTGCAGTGTGGTAGGTGCGACAGTGTTACTGCAGTGTGGGAGGTGCGACAGTGTTACTGCAGTGTGGTAGGTGCGACAGTGTTACTGCAGTTGGTAGGTGCGACAGTGTTACTGCAGTGTGGTAGGTGCGACAGTGTTACTGCAGTGTGGTAGGTGCGACAGTGTTACTGCAGTGTGGTAGGTGCGACAGTGTTACTGCAGTGTGGTAGGTGCGACAGTGTTACTGCAGTGTGGTAGGTGCGACAGTGTTACTACAGTGTGGTAGGTTTCGACAGTGTTACTGCAGTGTGGTAGGTGCGACAGTGTTACTGCAGTGTGGTAGGTGCGACAGTGTTACTGCAGTGTGGTAGGTGTGACTGTTACTACTGTGTGGTAGGTGCGACAGTGTTACTGCAGTGTGATAGTTGCGACAGTGTTACTGCAGTGTGGTAGGTGCGACAGCGTTACTACAGAGTGTGGGAGGTGTGATAGTGTTACTGCAGTGTGGTAGGTGCGATAGTGTTACTGCAGTGTGATAGTTGCGACAGTGTTACTGCAGTGTGATAGTTGCGACAGTGTTACTGCAGTGTGATAGTTGCGACAGTGTTACTGCAGTGTGATAGTTGCGACAGTGTTACTGCAGTGTGGTAGTTGCGACAATGTTACTGCAGTGTGGTAGGTGCGACAGTGTTACTACAGTGTGGTAGGTGTGACAGTGTTACTACAGTGTGGTAGTTGCGACAGTGCTGCTGCAGTGTGGTAGGTGTGATAGTGTTACTACAGAGTGTGGGAGGTGTGACAGTGTTACTGCAGAGTGTGGGAGGTGTGACAGTGTTACTGCAGAGTGTGGGAGGTGTGACAGTGTTACTACAGAGTGTGGTAGGTGTGACAGTGTTACTACAGAGTGTGGGAGGTGTGACAGTGTTACTACACTGTGTGGAAGGTGTGCCAGTGTTACTTCAGTGTGTGGCAGGTGTAACGGTGTTGCTGGAGAGGGTGTTGTTACGTCAGCAAATGCTAAGCTGATAGGCGGTCAGTAGATGTCAGAAGACATGACAGGTCAAGGCATCGAGATGTCAAGAGACAGCATTTTTCAGGTCAAGAGACAGCATTGGTCAGGTCAAGAGACAGCATTGGTCAGGTCAAGAGACAGCATTGGTCAGGTCAAGAGACAGCATTGGTCAGGTCAAGAGACAGCAGGTGTTAAATCAATTTAGAGATCAGGAGATATCAAAGGACAGGTGACAGCACGATATAAAATCTGTCTTGCTATGATCTCATATTTGCTGTCTCCTCACCTCACTTATCTGGTCATGTCTCTCTGAACAGACCTCTGTCATCTCACCCTTTTTGTAGAACCTCTCACTCGAGCTGTTTCCTCACCTCCCACTGGCCTGACCTGTCTCTTCATCTCCCACAACCCTGACTAAATCTCTTCACATACCACTAACCTAACCTTCATCATCTCTTCATCTGCTGTTGACCTGACCTCTGTTATCTCCTGATACTGACCGGATGTTACACTCCAAGTATTGTAACAACTATTTCCTTTTTAGAGCATAACAATTTTGGTCAGAGACGTTAGGGTAATAATAATGATCCTCCGGAATGCCTAATTTTAATTAAGTATATTCATAATATAACAAAAGCCAGTTATAATATACGAATTATCGTATATAAGTTAAGAATACATGTTTCTTCTGTAGTATCCAACATATACATAAGGCTTTCAAAACAGAGGATTAGGAGGATATCCTAGATATAACATATATATAAATGGAGATTACTTTATACATTAAAGTCTTGTTTCCCAATTGGAAGCAGTCAGATAAAACAGAATATGGTCCAGGCCGGCTAATAAATCTTGGCCAGTTACCAGAGACGAGCAGGAGTGTTCTCGTTGGCTGCTACTTCTTCACTGCTCGTCCCTCAACCTTGAGCATACAGGTAAAGTGGGTCACGTGACGTGACTCACCAACACTCAGTAGAGTAGTTGAACATAAAGGGGGGGGGAAGGGGGGGGTATAACCATCGAACATCACGGCTAACTACACACCGGCACACCGGGCGGCAGGCAGGTTACTATAGCTCCAATTAAACTTATCATGGCCATGTTACATAAATTATAATTGTTAATAAGAATTAATCTTAATAATACAAGGACGTTCATTTCCAATTTAGCTATTAAAGGAAATGACCGCAATGTAATATTAAAGGAAGGTTAACCATAGGGGCATGACACCCCGGCCCACAAGCAAATATCTCGGCGTTTAAGATGCTGATGGAGTAGAAGAAACCCAAACCAGCTGGTATAGGGATGGAGGTACATCATTCCAAGGTTAGTCATCCACTTGCTAGAACTGGTCCAGAAACTGCTTGACTGCAAAGAAATTTCCGTAGTTAAGCCATATTAGGAGCGAGAGAGAGCATCGGCTAACACGTTGCTCGAACCCTTTATGTGAAAAATGGAGATCCGGTAAGGTTGGATCCTTAAAGCCCAGCGTAATATTCTAACATTTTTTGATTTCATAGAATTTATGAAAGTTAGAGGATTATGGTCTGAGTAAATATTTATCACATGAGGAGTATAACCGAGGTATACGTCAAAGTGTTCTAAGGACAACACTAAAGCCAGGCTTCTTTTTCTATAGTTGAATAAGATCTTTGATATTCTTTCAATTTATAGGAAAAATAACATATTGGATGTAGAATATTACCGTTTTGGAAGGATTGCAATAAGACAGCACCTATAGCTGCATCACTGGCATCAACATGGAGGGTGAAAGGAATTTGGAAATTGGGTGCACGCAATACTGGGGCAGAGGAAAACGTTTTAGACTTTTTAAAAGCTTTTTCCCAAATTCTCGTCCCAATTAAATTTATATTTAGGACTGGTCAATCTAGTCAGGGGGGAGGCAACTTTAGCAAAGTTTGGGCAAAAACGCCTGTAATAAGTAGCCATCCCCAAAAATCGTTGGGAGGGCTTTCCTGTCTTGAGGAGACGGGAAATTTAAAATAGCTTGGACCTTTAATTGGTCGGGGGCTACTAGTCCCTTCCCTATTTTAAAACCGAGATATTTAATCTGGCTTTACCAAAGTCACATTTTTGTAAATTTACAGTGAAATTGTATTTCTGCAATGCTTTCAGTAGTTGCTCTAATCTTTCTAAATGAGACTGCCAGTCATCACTAAAAACCACCAGGTCGTCTAAGTATGCCTCTACACCTTCTAAGGGTTTTGGACTAAAATGTTCATAATTCTCTGGAAAGAGGAGGCGGCGTTACACAAGCCGAAAGGCATAACCTTATACGTAAATAGTCCGTTCTTAACTACGAACCCGGAAATCTCTTGGGCCCTAGGAGTTAACGGCACCTGGTAATACCCTCTCAGCAAGTCTAATCTGGTCACAAAGTTGGCACCGGCTACAGCATCTATTAAATCATCAATCCTTGGTAATGGAAACCCATCTGGTTTGGTGACTGAATTTACTTTACGGTAATCCGTGCAAAGGCGTACGGTACCATCGGGTTTTGGGACCAATAAACAGGGAGAGGCCCAAGGTGTCCAACTGGGTTCTATCAAATTATATTCCAGTAATGTATTTATTTCTTGTTGAATTAATTCTTGCTTAGCAGGAGAGACCCGGTAAGGGGATTGCTTTATTGGACTATCTTCTAACAATTCAATATCGTGGAAACCCAATGTACAAGGAGTAGGGATATCTTTGAAGATGGAGTTATATTTAGTGATTAACTCTTTGATTTGAGATTTTTGGGAGGTAGGAAGAACTTCCAGGAAATGGTCTAGTTCTTTTAAAACTTCAGAATTATGTAGTCTAAATTCTTACTTCCCTTACAGTGTCATTCCTTATTTCAGTGGATGTAGGTTGAATAGAGGTAATAATAGTAGGGAGAAGGCTAGACTCGTACTTCTTTAAGTTATCTATGTGATACCTCTTAATTTTCTTACGACGTCCTGGTTCACGGACCAGATAATTCACCTCATTTTCTTTGTCTACTATTTCATATGGCCCCAAATATCTAGGTTTTAAAGAATGTCCTGGAATTAAGTTTTTAACTAACACTAATTCATTCGGAGAGAATTAACGAGATTTACCCCTTTTGGTCATAAGATTTCTTCATTTTGGCTTGAGCTTCTGACAGATTCACGGCAGCTAAGCTTTTTAATTTGGAGAGAGGTTCTTTCCCAAAAAGTAGAGGACTGGGATGAAGAGGTCCTCTCTTCCCTATCCAAGAATCTCGTAATATGGCTAGGGGTCCTCGCACCTGATGTCCAAAATCAAGTCAAATGGAGAGTATTTAGTACTTCTTGTTCAGCTTCACGGAGGGCGAAGAGAAGAAAGGGTAAACCTTCGTCCCATTCACGAGAATATTGCTCACAGTAAGCACGTAAAGTAGATTTAAGGGTTTGGTGGAATCTTTCTAGCACTCCTTGTGACTGGGGATGATATGCTGTAGAGAGGATCTGTCTTACTCCTAATCGAGACATAGCCTCTTTAAAAACCTTAGACGTAAAATTAGAACCTTGGTCAGATTGAATTTCACGTGTATGCTACTTGAGCAAAGAAGCGTATTAAAGCTCTTACTATATTTCTGGAATTAATTTTGGACATGGGGATAGCATCAGGATACCGAGTTGCCATATCTATGATGGTGAAGATATACTGGTTACCCCTTTTTGTGCGGGGCAAACGGTCCTACACAATCAATAACTAATCTTTCAAAAGGTTCTTCAGGACATTTTATTGGAAGTAAAGGGGCAGACGCGGGATTGTGCGCCGTTTTGCCTATTATTTGACAAACGTGGCATTTCCGTAGTTTGTCAGCAATATAAGTCCTCATCTGAGGCAAAAAAAATATTCCTTATCTTTTTCTCTGTCTTACGAGATTCCTAAATGACCTCCCAGTGGATTATCATGTGCTAGTTCAAATACCATATTACGTAAGGACGATGGCACCACTAACAAGTTTCCTTTTGAACTCAAATCATTATCATTATTTCTCTTCCAAAGAAAACCGTCTTCATCTAAAAGGTAACCTTCCTCTTTATCCTTATTGGTTAAACTTTTATCGTCCTTTAGAGCTATAAGAAATTCTTCTTTATTACATTTTCTAGCTAGGTCCGCAGGGACTGGTAAAACTTTGTCACCTGTGGGTCTCGACTGAATTGCTTCGCTAAACAGGAAGTTCAAACCTAATTCATCGGACATTTCTAAAGGCTGTTGAATATCCAAATTGTTAGAGTTCTTAGCCATGGCTCTGGTGACCACATTAAGGGAAATAAATCTAGCCCTGCCTCAGAGGCTTCTAAGGCATAATTTACATCACAAGGATTATCTAAAACCAGAGCTCTCTGGGTATCTCCAATTGATCAATTTCGTTCCCGATTAATAGATCCACGCCGGCAATGGGAAAAGGTTTATCTGAAAGTCCCACATTGATCCAGCCTACCATATCCAGGCAGTTCTACATAAATCCTTATAATAGGGACCTTTATTATTGTGCCTCCGTAAGCCTCTAATAATACGTCTAGCCGGGGTTCTCTACTAGTAGGTAACTTTACCAGGTTTGATCTTAATAAAGAGAGATAGCTGCCAGTATCTCGAAAGGTCGTGATATTTACTAACCTCTCTTTACAGAGTCCGAACTTCCCCTGGGAAAAGTAGGGTTCCATAGCTACTCGGACCTTTTCTTCTGAAGCACTGTCGTGGTAAAGTCATCTATTAGACGGTCTGCTAGATGAGGCCTGAAAAGGTAGAGATTCATCATCCCGAGTTTCATACTTCCGAGAGGAATTTATTACTGGGTAGGATATCTCCCTCTTGGTTGGGTTTTATCATCCCGCTGTTTATGCCAACACTGGGACTGTCTATGACTAACTTTTTACAAAAAGGCACAGTGGTAATTGATCTTTAGGATACTGTCTGGAGAAAGAGCCGTTTGTCACCTGTTTTTTGTCTGAATACACCTTCAAAGGTTCGCCAGTGGGCTTTCCTAGCCGTCAATCTTGAACTAAAACCTTGGGAGGTAGATTTCTTTTCCGGGGCCTTAGACATTTCTGTGGTTATAGCATGGGAAATTTCAAAGTGATCTGCGTGGGCAGCAGTATCTAACAAGTTAGTAGTGGGAAATGTCAAAAGATAAGTATGCACCCTCTCTGGAAAATATTTAAAAAGATCTTCATGCAACATCAGCTGGGAAAGTGACTCGACTGAGGCGGCTCCCGCGGCCCTACGCCAATGCTCGAAAGCAGAGAGCTTTTCCCTGGCAAAGTCCACCCAAGACTGCTGAGGATATTTCTTCAGAGTTCTAAACATTTTCAAATAACTGACAGGTAATAAATCATAAGCTTTCAGAAGACAATCTTTTACCCGAGTATAATCAGAATATTGTTCAAAAGGTAAGTTGGCAGTTATGGTTTGGGCTTTTCCTATTAAAGATGAATGTATTAAAGCAGCCCAATATTTAGGAGGCCATTGCATCACCTTCGCCTGATTTTCGAATGCTTCAAAAAATGAATCTAAATTATCCTCCGTAAATTTAGGCATCAAAGAGGCTGCTTTACCAAGGTCAAATGAAGGGATTGTATACATATTACTGGATTCTCTTTTCTTCCTCAGTACTTCCCGTTCATAAAGCAAAGATTCACGTTCAAAATTCTCCCTTTTTAACTTTCTCTGGGCTTCTACAAGGAGGTTTGAAGCAATAAATACGTTCTAGACGTTCAAAATTCTCCTTAGATTGAATAGTAGTCAAAAGGGCTAAAGAGATTTGAGGTGGAACGTGTTCATCATCCAAAAGGACTTCTTGTTCTGTTTCAAAAACATCTGTAAATGGTTTACCTGGATCCGTTTCTTTAGTGTGATTGAGTTCTGTTCCCCATATAGTCCTTGGAGATGGAATTGGAGTCGTTGTAGCAGCGTAGCGTTTCCGAGTATCAGGAAGTTCATGTCCGTCGTCTCCAGTAGGGGTTGTTAGCGTCGTAGTTTCGGCCTCGGGCGTCTGTAGAAAAGAATTCAAAAAGGAAGGAATATCTGCTTCTCCATTCTCTATCTCTGGATCCTGCTCATCTGGAAAAAGGACATTCTGTATCATACATCTGACTGTCTGGGCAGTGAAATGCCTGTCGTATTTTATGCCCAAGCTTCGTGCTAATTGCCAACAAGATTGAAGCTTCAAATTTTGTAATTTCTCCTTTGTTATATCTTCAAACCTCTCTGCCATTTCTACATTCATTTAAAGGAAATTCAGTGTTATGCTCCCGGACACAGGCCCCCACTTGTTACACTCCAAGTATTGTAACAACTATTTCCTTTTTAGAGCATAACAATTTTGGTCAGAGAGGTTAGGGTAATAATAATGATCCTCCGGAATGCCTAATTTTAATTAAGTATATTCATAATATAACAAAAGCCCCGTTATAATATACGAATTATCGTATATAAGTTAAGAATACATGTTTTCTTCTGTAGTATCCAACATATACCTAAGGCTTTCAAAACAGAGGATTAGGAGGATATCCTAGATATAACATATATATAATGGAGATTACTTTATACATTAAAGTCTTGTTTCCAATTGGAAGCAGTCAGAAATAAAACAGAATAGGTCCAGGCCGGCTAATAAAATCTTGGCCAGTTACCAGAGACGAGCAGGAGTGTTCTCGTTGGCTGCTACTTCTTCACTGCTCGTCCCTCAACCTTGAGCATACAGGTAAAGTGGGTCACGTGACGTGACTCACCAACACTCAGTAGAGTAGTTGAACATAAAGGGGGGGGGGGGGAAGGGGGGGGTATAACCATCGAACATCACGGCTAACTACACACCGGCACACCGGGCGGCAGGCAGGTTACTATAGCTCCAATTAAACTTATCATGGCCATGTTACATAAATTATAATTGTTAATAAGAATTAATCTTAATAATACAAGGACGTTCATTTCCAATTTAGCTATTAAAGGAAATGACCGCAATGTAATATTAAAGGAAGGTTAACCATAGGGGCATGACACCGGATATCTTCTGTTTCATCACCTACCACTGACATGACCTCTACAGGCGCTTCATTTACCATTGACCTAGCACATGCCATCTCCTCACTAGCCATTGACCTTTCCTCTGTTGTTCCCTCACTTTCAACCGACTTTATCTCTGCTACTGACCTGACCCCTGTCATCTCACCTGACCTCTCTGGCTGTCAGTGTCCCTCTGCACTCGTGACTTAATAATAGTCCCGGACCACCTCAAACGTCATCCAATTTTAATTTCTAATTTAGGGGACTCATATGATTAGCTTCAGTCACGACAATTCTAATGCAGTCATAATAACTTCATTCTGGCCAAGACTGTTGTTGTTATATTGGATTTAGACAACATAACAAATCGTCCAGTTAATCTGCGCGTCAGTGTGATGCTCTCAAGGCCTCGTATTTCATGACGTCTCACCATCCCATTTTAGCCACTGTGTTGTTTGCGTTAACAAACCCTTGCTAATGGAAGCATAGAGTTATCCTCCGAGAACATAAGAAAGAAGGAGCACTATAGCATGCCTACTGGGCCATGCGAGGCAAGTCCAAATCACTTATCGGCCTAAGCCACTGGCCCAAGCTAGTCAGCTCCAGGTCACATCTACTTGAGGAGGAAGGAGCATTGCATCAGAACCACAAGCACAAGCGAGTCAGGTCCAACTCACACCCACCCACACCCACTCATGTATTTATCCAACCTATTTTTAAAACTACACAACGTTTTAGTTTCTATGACGGTTTCTCGGAGTTTGTTCCACTCATCCACAACTCTATTACCAAACCAGTGCTTTCCTATATCCTTCCTGAATCTTATTTGTCCATTGCTGCGAGTCCTGTCTTGGCTACATATTTCTAGCACATTACTTACATTCCCTTTATTTTATTCCTGTTTTTCCGTTTTTACACGTCAATCATATTTCCTTTAATTCTAAAGATTGCAGATTCAGTCTATCCTCGTAGGAAAGATTTCTGATATATGGGATCAACTTTGTCATTCTCTTTTGTACGTTTACCGGCGCATTTATATTCGTTCTGTAAAGTAAAAGGACACAAGTTGCCACAATAAATGTCACATTAGTTGCATTGTGTCCTTTTACTTTACATATTGTCGGTAATTCTACCAACTTTATTATATTCGTTCTGTAATATGACGACCAGAACTGTGCCGCATCATCTAAACGAGGCTTAGCCAACAACCTGAGGATTCCTCTTATTTATACTTCTTGATATGAAGCCATGAATTCCACTCGCTTTATTTCGAACACTTTACGCACTGCTGTCTCGGCTTTAGATTACTGCTAACAAGAACTCCAAATCTTTTTTCGCAATCAGAGATAATAAGATCTGTATTATTTAGTAGGATAGCAGATGAACAAGGAAAGGTAGGGGGTGTGTAGACGAAGTGTTTACAGTGAAACTTATAGGTGAACAGTATTTAGATAAGGGTAAAGAGGTTTTTATGGCATTTATGGATTTGGAAAAGGCGTATGACAGGGTGGATAGGGGGGCAATGTGGCAGATGTTGCAGGTGTATGGTGTAGGAGGTAGGTTACTGAAAGCAGTGAAGAGTTTTTACGAGGATAGTGAGGCTCAAGTTAGAGTATGTAGGAAAGAGGGAAATTATTTCCCAGTAAAAGTAGGCCTTAGACAAGGATGTGTGATGTCACCGTGGTTGTTTAATATATTTATAGATGGGGTTGTAAGAGAAGTGAATGTTCGGGTGTTGGCAAGAGGTAAAGGGTTAAAAGATAAAGAATCACACATAAAGTGGAGTTGTCACAGTTGCTCTTTGCTGATGACACTGTGCTCTTGGAGATTCTGAAGAGAAGTTGCAGAAGTTGGTGGATGAATTTGGTAGGGTATGTAAAAGAAGAAAATTAAGTGAATATAGGAAAGAGTAATGTGATGAGGATAAAAAAAGATTAAGTGATAAACTGGATATCAGATTGGAGGGAGAGAGTATGGAGGAGGTGAATTTTATTACTGGTCCAATGGCTAACGCGTCAGTCTGGAGTTTTAAGACTCTGATCGGGGTTCAAACCCCCGCCCGTGGTATGGTTTTTTTTTTTTTATGCAAACTCTCTGTGCCTGTCAGCCCACGCCTTTATCCAGGAAAAAATTTCTTCTCTTATTCCATGTGCCTTAATTTTCCTCATTTAGCCTCTGAAGTCCATATACACAATATCATATTCATTACCCATGATCTAATTCCTCAAACACCTTAGTGAAAAAATTAGAAAATTTCTAAGACAGGAACGCCCCTTTATAAACCGTGCTGGGATTCATTATTTCAATTTATGCCTTTCAAGGTGGCTACGGCTGGCCTCGGCAATTCAGATTCCATAAATTTTTCCCCTACTATGGAGGTTAGGCATTTTGGGTCTGTAGTTGGAAGGTAAGGACCTGTCTCCTACTTGACAGACGGGTATCACATTTGCCATTTTCCACTTATCTGGTACTATGCCAGTTTGTACAGATATGGTGAAGAGACCACCCCAATGTATCACTAAGTTCCATCTTACATTCCTTTAAAACTCATGCAGTTCATCTGGGCCTGGGGATTTGTAAGGTTTTAATTTTTTCTGTTTGAGGACCATGTCACTAGTGATTTAGATCGTGCGTAACTTATTATCGCTCAGTACAACATATTTGATTATTTCGGGAAAATTTCACTAATATCATTTCCTCCAGAAAGTAAGTGTTAAGGATTCTACACATTTCCTTACACTGTCTGTCAGCTGACCCGAGTGACTTTTGAGCGGGTCATCCTGTCCCTAAATCTTACCGCTGTATACCTGAAGGACACCTCTTGGGTTACTTTATCAATTAAAATCACAAAGGATTCAAAATCTTTTTTTTTTTTTTTTTTTTGAATATGCTGATTTCTGAACTGCCCCTCTCGTCTTTTGATTCGTCTCTAAAAGCCTCTTTTTGACCAATGAGATGTTTTTTATCTATTGCTTATCCATTAGGATCATTTTTGTTTGATCTAATTTCCCTATTTGGAACATAAGTAGTCTGACCAGCTGGAACTATTCACTGAAAATGTCATATCAGCAATCACCACCACTTACCTGACCTATATCAGGTTATACCAGTTCATCCTACCCAGGAATTTCTCAGTCCTACAAAATCGGCCAAAATCACTTTCCTAAAGGGCTAATCATTAACCTCAAGATTATTAATTAGTGATTCGTGTTGGGAAGAGCCAAAGCAAGAAAGGGTTTTTTCCTCTAGTTGGTTCTGTCACAAACTGTTTTAAAAGCAATCCCGAATCGTATCAAGAAAGTCACTAGACTCAAGACCTGTCAAATTATTTCCCAAACAGTTTGCTTCAGCTAAAATATCCCATTAAACAATTTTTTTTAATCTAGATGCCTTATGAATTACGTCCCATAGAAAATTTACTGCAGGTTTAGGGACCTGCAAATCAAAACCCAAGATTTGTTTTTCACAACCCTTGAGAAACTAGCCAAACGGATTTTCTGTTCCCTGCTTTTAATTATATATCTTGTCTAACACAACAATTTAAATTATCTGTGACATACATCGCCACTCCACCGCCCTTCCTGTTGACCCTATCAGTGCGGAATTGTTTATAGTCCCTTATATCTGGCATTTAGAAGGTATTTTTTTGTATACTGAACGATACCGACCGCATAATAATTTAAACTGTATTTCTACAAGTACGTCAAGTCTCTGGTTATGCAGAGTATTTTGGGCAACTTATTTTAATCTTGTTCCCCAGGATGCAAACCCACACCGTCGACTAACCCAGGTACTTTCTTGCTGCTAGATGAACAGCGGCAACAGGGGTAAGGAAAACGCCCGATGTTCCGCCAGTACCGAGGATCTAACTTGTGTAAAAGGGTACTTGAATACAGTTTAGGACACTTTTTGAAGGAAACTTTTTACCGCTCGTGACTTCATCAATACTGATAAAGTCACTCGTGACTAAACGTCTCCTTCAATATGTCATGAACCGCACACACATATATCCTTTTCCACATAAACCTGTAGGCCTACGGCTAATTTCTGTATGTCACCTTGATGACAAGATTTTGCTGGACAGAATAATTTAGAGAGAATTCTGGAGATGCTAAAGCTCCCTTAGTTTTGTTTACGTCTATCAGAAATAAAATTGTTGAGGGTTCCAGGCACCGGCATCTTGATAATTCTCTTCCGTCAGTAATTCAATTCATTTTCACTGCATAATATAAAACCATGTAT